TATTGTTTAATTGAACAACAAATATTAGTCAAATAAACAAAATGAGAATATTTGTTTTAATCTTCTAATCTGGTTAATTAAACATTCTTGATATTTCGAATATTCAAATAATTTGAAAATGGTTGTGCTAACATTTTTAAGATGTTAAGGTAAATTTCTTGAAGTTTCCAGGTAACCTTTTTAGCATATTCACTTAACACTAATAAAATGTTAAATTAAAATAATTTGCGCTAATGTTGGGTTAATTAAATTATGGAATTAATTTAAAGAGTTTTTGTTTTGAGTGCGTTCCACCTACTTCAAATACCTACCGACATGTCGGTATTATATTGTCGGTATTTGTCGCGTCAGACAGCTGATTCGACCTATATTGGGGGTCTTATCAGTCACTGATAATCAGTGTCGGGAAATTTGGTGTAGTGGAAGTTCCACTGTGGAATACACCGAAAACAAACAGCTACCTGAGCTTATATACTCCTATCACAAGCCAACTAAGGCGAGATGTAAGAACATCACGTGATCAACACCGTCTAATGACGTGGCGTGGGTGTTCGAAGCGCCCTTCACGGCAATTTTATGAATGCAAAATTAACAAATTTTAAAGTAACATTTATAACTTGTTAAATGAACAAATTTAATGTTTTGGATTTAAAGGGCAACTAAACGTTAATTTAACAGTTTTTTTAGGTAATTCTAAAAATTTCAGTATTTGATTCAACCAATTCCAGCTATTAAATTAAAATAGGATAAACAGTTTAATTCAAAAAATTAGTTTATGTTAAATCGATATTTTAACTGTCAAATGAACAAATAAACTTTGACAAACTCTGACTATTGCTTTGACACCAAAATATAGATTAATCCAATTTAACATTTTCAAAAATGACATTTAGGCAAAAGTTTTTTTTCGGTGCCTGGAAAAACTAGAAAAGGAAAGTCTTGTTTGTCCCCTACTTGCAGAAAATAGTTTTTCCTATCCATAATCCAAACCAGTTTTCTAGTTTTCTAGCTGGTTGAATAATAAATAATTAATTAACTAAAAATAACAATATTTTACGAGAATTTCCTCGTTTAAACAGAACCATTTTTTGAAAGGTAAAATTTTGTGCTAGTTAAAAAAAATGTAGTAAGATAAAATTTTCGTAGTTAAATTCTCTAAATAGGGGGCTAACTTTATATAACTTTATATAAATAATATTATTTAAGTCGTTGAAGTGGACAAAAGTTAAATAACTAAATAAAATAGATATTTTCCTACCTGTATAGCGACCAAACCACTGATGTTCATGATTTTTACACAATATTTTTTTGGGATTGATTTGATAAAAATTTGTATGTCAAAAAGTAGTCGTAGTCGACGCTCGTGAAATTTTTTCTTACTCTTAAAATTTTAGTGTTTAGTACTTATTCTTAGAAAGAATACGCGTTACATATCTCACAAGAAACTTGCTAGTTTTTTTTATCAAAATTAAAAAGTGGCATCAAATATACATCTTCCGTAAGACATAAATAAAAAAATATTGACGGCTGCCATGGTTTCGGCTGTTCTGCTTAGGTATATAAAATTAAAAAATTAAAAAGCGTAGAATAATGTCAAAATATTAAACAGTAAATTTTTGGCACACCTTGGAATAAAAAGTTTTTGACATTCCCACATATATTTGATACCTGAAAGGGGACAACTTTGGTGATACGTTAAAGAAATATTTCTAATATTTGTCCTACAGATATCACAATAATAAAGAGTTGCCATGAAAATTTCAGCTCAATCGTTTCAATTGTGTTTAGAGTATCGTAGCAGCTAAAAATATAGTTTTGAGAAAAATGCATCTAAATGTCCAACACGCTTTGTTCTGCATTTCTATTTATTCAATGACGAGAACGTAGAATATCAAAATAGCTATTAATGCAATAAGACATTGATTTTGCATTCAAGATTTTTAGCCATACATAAATAAAACAATTTTTTTTTTATTCTTAAACACTAGTCAGTGCTTAAAACTGTGTACTTTAGCAACCAGAGTGACAAACAGAAAGTCACTGTTATAAAACGCTGTAACAAAAAATCCTTTTATCCACATATTATTGACTAGAAACGATTTACTAAAAAAAGACAAAAAAGACCTTAAATTATTTTTTCTACTTCCACCTTTAAAACTCCCATTATCGTAAATGTTTCCATAACATTAAGTGATCTTTTACATTTATAAATGTACATTGGTAAGCTTTGACTTTATGGCATTTTAGTTAGAAGTTAGCAGCAGTGGCTTTCGGGCTTTTAAGTCATGGGCTAAAGTTAGCTTTAAGTTGACGATTTTCAAATTTCATACAATAGTCAAAATAAAGTACCCTTCTTGTAAAAACGTGGAAATTATTTAATTATCTCAATACAAAATTCAAAATTATTAAATAATAAAATATTAAAAAAGCGTCTATGCACGTTTATGTTGACCTTTTGATTTTGCCTGCAGCAAACTAGAAGTTGCCGATGCCTCAGATTTAATAATTTCAGGTGGACTACCCATAACTAAATCCTCTTTACTTTTACTGTAAAAACTGCTTTTATATAGAATTTAAACGGTTGGTAGTCCATATTTAAAGGAAAATTAACTCACACTGATATTTTGAAAGCCGGCAAAAGGGATTCCTAACACGAATTTTGATTACTTTATTTGTCCCTCTTTACAAATGTTTTATCTGATTATTAAATAAATAGTTTTCACAATTATGTTTGTCTTAAAAAATATAGTATGCAACTCGTTTATAAACTTTCCTATAGACGTATTTTCAATAAAAACTCTCTCGCAAGCTTCGCTCGTGCCTAATTAAAATTCGTAACTAAAATGGCGTTTATCAAACTTGATAAATAAAATAACATTAAACAGCAATCTCTCTTGTCTAAAAGTTTTCACTCAAATTATATACAAGGTGTCCCTAAACTTAGTGGCATAAATTTAGGAGCAGATTAAGCAAGTCAAAATAAGACGAAAATCTAAATAAATATTTTTCCTAATTACGTATGTTTAAAAGATACAGGGTGATAAAGTGTTACTTATCATATCAGTTTTTTTTAATATAACTTCTACTATGATAGACTTGGAAAGGTGATATTTTGCGAACAATCACTTACTACCAAAACACATATTCACACATAATTACAATTGTTCGAGTAAACACAGTGTAGTAGAAACGGGGGTTGCTTTAAGCTTATTGTCCCATACAAACTTTGAGGTTAGGTTTTTATAACATTTGATGCAATTTTTCGATTACACAGTTCGGCTACCATTAAAAACGTGTACCTCTAAAACTTCGATAAAATAAACCGTTTCCGAGATATTCGAGATTACAATATAATTGTTATATCGCATTATTTAAAATGATTAAAAGGTATATGATAACAAATTTTATTTTTTAATTGAAAAAACTAAAAAAAGGCATTCCATGAGCTTTGGGACGTTTTGCCCTGACCGTCACATTAAAAAAATTGTAGTTTTTTCAATTAAAAATTTGTTATCATATACCTTTTAGTCCTTTAATGCGATATAACAATTATTGAAATCTCGAATATTTCGAAAACGGTTTATTTTTTTCGAAGTTTGAAAGGTACACCTTTTTAATAGTAGCCGAACTGAGTAATCGAAAAATTGCATCAAATGGTATAAAAACCTAACCTCAAAGTTTGTATGGGACAATAAGCTTAAGCAACCCCTGTTTCTACGACACTGTGTTTATTCGAACAATTGTAATTATGTGTGAATATGTGTTTTGGTAGTAAGTGACTGTTCGCAAAATATCACCTTTCCAAGTCTACCATAGTAGAAGTTATATTAAAAAAACTGATATGATAAGTAGCACTTTATCACCCCACATACGTAATTAGGAAAAATATTTATTTAGATTTTCGTCTTATTTTGACTTGCTTAATCTGCTCCTAAATTTATGCCACTAAGTTTAGGAACACCTTGTATATAATGAAGGTCAAAATTAATAGTTAAATACAAAGCGACCATTTTAATAGGACCCTGTACCCTGTATAACACTATTTTCTTTCAAAAAGAATAATTGAAGGGGCCAAGTAGAGGAAGGGGTAAAGTAATCTATTTAATAATAAACGAAAAAAATATTGTAATACCAACATTTTTATTTTTTTTATAATAACAGTATTTTCAATTGTAATGCTTTTAACGATTTTTACATAATACACACATCCTCAAAAAAATTACAAACAGTGCAGGGGGTGGAATGTGGCAAAAGGCCATTATGAAAAAGTCACTCATTCACATCAATGCAGTGTCTATGAACCAGAGACGTGCTTTGTTCTGCCTTTGTTTCCGAAATAAATGTCGGTGTTCGGTGCACTTTTCATTGGAGAAAAAGCGACCAAAATGAACAATTGTTTGACATTTGCTGCAGGGCATCCATTGAAAATTAATTTAAAACTTACATGTAAATAAAAAATTTACCTTTTAATCGTGTTTTTTACTTCCTATGCATGTAATTATAATAAACACTTTGGATCCCATTTAAACTCAAATTGAATATCCTCATAAAAAACCGAACTAATATATCCCTATAAATAGAAAATTTATTACCGACACATAAAGGAAATTAATAAGTATAGTTATAAATTAAACAGCAGCGTAGATAAGTAATCTGTATTAAGACCGTATGGTAAAATATTGTAATGAAAAACACAAGAGCACTTGTTCTTTTTATTAAGAATCAAGTAGCAAGCATATACAAAACGATGGAAATTGTAATTATTTTACAAAGGCGGCGTCGATCATTACGAAACAACTGAATGCAAATTACAGCGGCCCGTCATTATTCTCACATTGTAAAATTTAATCAGGAAATTCTTTCCGGTTAGTGCACTAATAAACCTTGTAAATACTAAAGAATCGGTTCAATTTACATAATTTTTAAACGGTGTATATACCCGATACATGGTATTTACTAATTAGGATTTTTGTCGGTATTTTAACAATAAAAAACATATTTTGTATGCTTGCAGGGTTTAATTCAAAGTTATTTAAAAAATTTACATCAGTGGTTTTTAACATCTTTAATACAATCCAACAATTGTAAACATTACCAAGATATTAATAATTTTACAATATGTGGATTGAAAAAAATTACTTATGCTTTCTCTCCTTCTGTCACATTTGTCACTCCTGAGGTTGTTGATACTGCATCTGAGGTTTTGTCAGAGCCTTTGGCACAGACCAAGCTAGGAAATTTCTTCTCCAAAGCTTGGCGGTATTTTGGATGACTAAAATACAACGAAATATGAGTAAGTTCCTTAGCAAATATTCAAAGAATTTTCTTTTAAAGAAAATTCCTTTCGAAAGTTAATTTTTTAATTTTTAAAAATTTAAAGATGTACCTAATTCCATAAACAATTGGGTTATAGCACGCATTCGCCTTAGCGAATAGGGAACACCAGATTGTTGCCAAAGGTGTGATTTTTGAGCTGCCAAGGACTCCTACGCAATTTACCACTAGGTATGGAGTCCATGCAAAGAACCACAACGCGATTGTCATCAAGGCGATCTTGGCAAGTTTGCATTCAGCGCTAGTCGCTGCTGCTTCCGAGGACCTTAAAGAAGCGACGTTCATTTTCTTTGCCTGTTCTCTCATTGCTTTTTCGTGGGTAGCTACAGCCTAGAAACAAAAAAGACCTTGTAATACAAAAGTTGAATGATTAAAGCAAATCAGCTGTATAGCGTTTTAAGATTCTTTTTTTTATGACTTATTTAATATAGTTAAACCCTTAAACTTAATGTTCTTACCTGTACGATATAGAAATAGCAGTAAATAATCATAAACAAAGGAAGGAAATATACGAAGAAGCTGTAGGCGTAAATGTAGCTTATGCTGAGCAAGTCCTTGCTAAGATAGTCGGTTCCACAAGCAGCCATGTTTCCTTCTGGTACGTATCTGTTCCATCCGAAAAGAGGAGCGATGGTCCATCCAACAGACATTAGCCAGATAATTAAAATCCACAGAAAAGCAACTTTTTTTGTAAACGGCTTAGCGCTTAATCCTTTGACAATTACGTTATATCTGTCGAGAGCGATAAAGGCCATCGTCCAAATGGAAACGCATCCAAACAGGGAGCCAAACATTCCATACAGAGCACAGAAAAGTGGTCCTTAAAATATGTTATCAATACAAAAAATAAAAATAGTTCTGGTTCACTAGCAACTTACCCCAAACCCAGGTCTCGTAGTAGCAATTGACAACCATAGGGAATGCCATGCAGAACATCATGGAGAAATCAGAAAAGGCTAAATTGACAACTAAAAGATTAGAGGGTGTTCTAAGTGCTTTGGTAGAGGCGAAAATATACAAAACCATTCCATTGCCGAAAATTGAGATGAAGCCCAAGACTGCGATCGAGAAGCCAAGTATTCCGTGCCAAAGGGGGTTCATTGGGGGGAATTGGTACCAGTAAGCGTCGACGAGATGGATCATGTCAGGCGTGACTTTATCGACGACCGTAAGGTTGCTACCGCCAAAGCCAGAGGCCTGGGGACCCCCCGACCACGCGGCAAAGCTCGGTTGTCCCATTACAGACATGCTTAAAGTTTACCTACAACAGCAAACAAATATACAGAATATATTTATTTAGAATAGGAACATAAAATTTTTGATTAAGCCGAAGGGAATTTTTAGGTAAAGTTTAATAAATTAGAGCATGCTTTTATTTTTTAGTTAACAAATTAGTAAAAAAACCGTGCCTGCAGAAAACGGCAAGGGAAAGTTAGCAAAGCAGATTTGTAACAATAATTTATTTTCCCTTAAAAATACAATTAAATAGTTTCACAGATTATTTGAATAATTTAAATGGTTTTGGTTTTTAGAAGAACAGAATATAAATACAAAGTGATAGCGTGTCAACTCGAATAGGCCAAAAATTGTTCAATTTTTTTTATAAGAGTTATGCACAAAATGCAAAAGCAATTATTGTGGTCAACTTGACCAGATTATCAATATTATAATAAGGGAGAGTACCGTGCGAAAGTGCTGTATGCTACATGCCACCTGGCTCTTAAAGGACACAAGAAAGATTAGGTACAATTGCTAAACAAACATGATTTAATTTGCAATCTTAACTAATGAACAGTCTTGTATTAACTAACAACCTTCTCAAGGGGGCTAAGCGGCATAAACATGCAATTCGGTGCTGAACTAAGATGCAATTAAAACATTGGTATGTGAATTTTGCTGAATTCATCACTAAAACAAAATTCGCCTTGGCATGGTAAAAAATAATAAACACAAACACTACCTGTATAAAGGGCAATACTGATAACAAGTAAGTGGTTTACGCACAGTGAATTAAAAAATTTGTGTATATATGTTTCCTATATATTTAGCTTAGTAACATTACGACTGGCTAAATGTTCTTTAGTCAATACTTGTAATAAGCAGTTAAAGTGTCCTTGAAGCCAGTTGCTTATTTTAAATCAGTACTTGAAATAAGTAGTTAAATCTTCCTTACAACCAGATGCTTACTTTAAACAATGGAGGAAGAACCTTCTTCAAAGTCGGTAAAAGGGGAAGGAGAAACTGACAGAAGAACAATAAATAAACGTTAGGCTCTCACAGAAAAATATGAACACTCCCCAAATGCTTGTGGTATTACCAAACACCCCGATCTAGCTTCGAAGATTTCGCATGGTATCTAGGTTTTGATCGGCGTTATTGTTTTCTAAAAACCAAAAGGTCTATACCCTAGTTCCCAGATTTTCCCCAGCCCTCTGAGCCATAAGTCCGGCCCAGCGCAATTCCGGACCCATGTCACCCACTAACCCAAAAAAGGATACAGTGCAAACAGTGGTAAACATCTGCACACAAGCAAATACAGTTCTTGGGAGCGGAAGAAAATCGAAGGATGGGCATCGGTTGCACTTGCTGTGTCCAAAAAAGCTGTACGTTCCCTATGTTCATGTCCAATACGAACATATAAAATATTTAAATAGTTTCTTGACGACAATTTTTAAAAAATTATATTATATGCACGTTTGTAGTGATCTTTTAATTTCGTGGGCAGTAAACTAGTATTTGCCGATAAAGCATAAATAATTTTGGGTGGGGTACTTATAAAACAACCTCTCTACTTTTACTGTAAAAAACTTATTCTATATCGGATTTAAACTGTTGTTGGTCCATTTTTAAGGGAAAAATTTAATTGTTAGAGGGAAATTTAATGATTATACATTTGGTTTAATTTTGATTTAATTTTTCTTATTATTATTTTTATTAAAATAATTGTTTGATTTCGAAACTCTTACTTTTATAAATATGGTGGATAAAACAAATTAATAATCCTCTAAAATACTATAAAAGATCTTGATGTTGATTGAGTTGGTATTTTTTAATAGATAAAGTTGTTGGTGTTTTGAAAAGAAGTAGAAAAAATTGTTGGAAATACAATTTTTTAAATCAAAGAATACATGTCTTTTATAAGAAATTTGTGTATCTTAATCCGAGGACATGCTGTATACAAGGTGTTTCAAAATATGTGTCGGAAAGTAAACAAGCGTCTAGTCCCAGCGCCGGCTACTTTTCGCAGACATGCGCGTTAACTAACAGGAAGCTTCACACGTCACACACTGTAAACTGGTATTATTTTCCAAACAATAGGAACTATTCAATAAGCTCGGTAGCTCCGATGGAAGAGCGCCCGCTTTGTATGCCAGAGATACCAGGTTCGAGTTTTAGCGCCTACAACTTTTTTTATTTTTATTTATACAGGGTGTTTCATAATATATGCGCAGGACTTCAGGATGTGATAGCTCATCCAAAAAGATGAAAAAAGTCGCTATTAACTTACCCTCTAAAATGCACAATTTTCGAGATACAAGGTGTTGAAATTTTAGAAAAAAAATCGTTTTTTTCGATTATCTCTGGAACCGTTTGTCGTACAAAAAACAGCTTTTGTAAGTATTTTCTACTCATAATAAGCTATGTTTTGTGGCAGAAAAAATTTTTTTTACTCATAATTGGTGGAGATTTTGAAGGGGTAGCGGGTGTTTTTCTCCTCAACTTCAACGCCCCTGAATTTATTTTAACGTTAGAAAAAGTAACAAAACCAAACGATAATTGCAAAATTAAAAAAAAAATAAAAAATGATTTTTTACACAAATGCTGAAATGTTCGAAATGCGTTACATTTACGGTTTGGAGAATTTAGCAAAGACAACTTTTGAATCATTTTTTATTTTGCAATTATGGTTTGGTTTTGTTACTTGTTCTAACGTTAAAATAAATTTTGTTTAATTAGTAAAAAAAAATTTTTTTTTTTAAATTTACCATGTTTTTAAACATAAAAGTTGATTTTTCTCTAAAACGGTCAACTTTAGAGCTTATGACCAGGAGTACCTTTTTTGTGTAGAAAACATTGGCAGTTCGAATAAGACTCTCAAAACCGTACATTTTTAAGGGCGTAGAAGTTGAGGAGAAAAACACCCGCTACCCCTTCAAAATCTCCACCAATTATGAGTAAAAAAAAATTTTTTTCTGGCACAAAACATAGCTTATTTTGAGTAGAAAATGCTTACAAAAGCTGTTTTTTGTACGATAAACGGTTCCGGAGATATTCGAAAAAAACTATTTTTTTTCTAAAATTTCAACACCCTGTATCTTGAAAATTGTGCATTTTAGAGGGTAAGTTAATAGCGACTTTTTTCATCTTTTTGAATGAGCTATCACATCCTGAAGTCCTGCGCATATATTATGAAACACCCTGTATAGCGAAAAGGATTAATATTTAAATTTACATTAATATTTTAAATTATTTACCCTTCTTCATAATCATTTTGCTACAGTTATTATATGAATATTCCTTCGTTCAAAAATTGGGGGGGGAGGGTGGAGCGGGGTCGGTTGGGTTGGGTTGTTGAGTTTGGGTTGGTTTCGAAGTTTCGCAAGAAGTAATTCCTTACTTAGATTATTATAATAAACCCTACATTAAATGTCCGCATGAAGATTGTCGATAACGCGCATGTCTGCGAAAAGTAGCCGGCGCTGGCGCTAGACGCTTGTGGAAAGTAATGGGTAATTTCTTGGCTAATTATAAGAAAAAAAGTTCCTATTAACATTGGTCTGCATACTTACCGAGATACAGGTCAATATTTTTTTGATTTTTGACGATATTTTAGGAATCGTTAAAAATACAGAACTGAGATGATTTTGTACATTACTATTTTGTACATTACTATTAGGACCTTTTTAGGCACTTATTCAATTTTTTTCATGTGCCAGTGATGGAGATTTTAAGGTTGCGTAAGGTTATTGCCCATAATAAAAATATAATATGACACTGGGAAATTGGCATTTTAAAGCACATTTTGAACCGCCAATGTTTTTTACACAAAAAAGGAACTCTCGATCAAAAGCTCTAACACAACCTTCTTTAGAATAAAACGCATTTTGTTGATGAAATAAATTAAATAATTATCAACATGATTACAAAAAAATTTAATATTGTTGATAAAATGTGTAAAAAAATATTAACTACATTTTAAAACTTTTAACACTAAAATAAAAAATACAATTTTACATAGATAGTTAAGTAATTGAAATCGGTTTTACCTTATTCGCAGCAGTTTAAAAATGGTGGATAAAAATGGAACCTAAACGTAACCTTATTTGCTTTACATTGACTACTGATTTATTGAGAGACTTGGACTGTCACTAAGTTATTTAAGAAAATGTATTTATTTTTATACTTTCTAAAATAATTGTATTTGCTTTGTTTCTAATTAAATTAAGGGTAAATCTGTTCAGTATTTTCATGGTTTCCCCGTCTTAAACTTAAAACACATAATTGTATTAAAACACTTCAAGTAACCGTGATTTTCAAATGCGTATGTGGTTGCTCAAGGTTATTTGTGGTTATTGGATTACTGAAAATTAACATGTAAATATGCTTTACAATAATGAAAATCTATACAGTATTTCAAAACTTAAGGTCAAATCTTAAAAATCATTATTTACATTTTGGGATACCAAATTGGTGTAAGGAAAGTTAAAACACATTTGTTCAAAATGGTGTTTTTTAGAGGTAAAGAACATAATATTAAATTATTATTATTTTGGTAATGGTTATGTTGTTAGCCTCCTAAAAAAGATAATTGCCATTTGTGTCTAAGTATGATATAATTTTAGAATGGGCCAAAAACAAGATTTCTCGTTTACAACAAAATTTTGTTTAGCGATGAGGCTCATTTTTTATTAAAGGAGTGAATGCAATGTATAAGCCGTTACATTCACAAAAAGTCACTATATTTTTTATGCTTTATGAGGTGTTGAAATCATTGGCCCATATTTCTTCATAGATGATGCCGGCCAGAACATTACAGTCAATGAAGAGTGCTATGGATCTTTTTTGCTGCCCAATTAAATGGTAAATGGTTTTATTAAGAAGGCGCGACGCAACATACAACACAATTTATTGCAGGAAACATTTGATGAGCGAATAATTTTGCGCAATGGATTGTGCGATATTATACCTATGGATATTTTTTTGTGGGGATATGAAAAGAAGCTAGACTACACCGATAAACAATTTGGAAGTCAACATCCGCTACAATATTGCCGATATACCAATCCAACCTCGAAAAAGTGGTCGATAATTGGATTGCGATTTATATAAGCCTGCCGAGGTGTCCATATCCCTAAAATCACATTTAAACAAAAATGACATAAAATTATCTTTTTAATAAAGCCAAATAATGCTCAATGACCGTTGGTGATTACCTTAATTTGTATGTGTTTTATCTCATTTACCTCATACCTTAAGAAACAATTTCAAATTATATTTGTGGTTTTCATTCCACGAAAAGTTTTCGATTTATTTAATCATGCCTATTGTATTTCCGTTAATAATTATTAATTAATTAATAAATTATAATTTATTAACCTTCCTTATTGTACAAAACTTATCACCTAAATCAATGCTGCATTGAGAATGCATATTGAATATCATTTTCTTAAACGAATTTAATTCGTTTCACTTAATGTCAAGGTTAAAAACTATGGTCTCTCATCGACTCGAAAAATATTGTCTATTATATGCATCCCGGGACGCTAATTTAATAAAGTGATTTGTAATAATATTTTGTCATGGGATTGTCTTCGAAAGGGAAAGTGCGCTGGCATAAGAATGTTAGACCAAAGAATTAAGTAATTTAGTTTAGTGAATTATAGTACGCTATTATATCTAATAATTTTAATGGGTCAATAAAATAGAAAGATAAAACTTTACAGAAAGTATTTTATAGGTAACCATTTTAAATAAAACATTAAATTTGACCATGCTATTATTATGTAAATCTTTAATTTTTAGGTTTTTGTAGATTACACAGTGCAAATCAAATTTAATTCTCTTTTCCTGAAAGTATACCTATTTCCGAGCCTATTTCATAGTAAAACAAGATCCAGTTTTTTTTAACTTGTCCACCCAATTTTAATGTATTTTTTCAAAAGCACGTTTGTAGAAAAACTTAATAAATAGGTATTCAAAACATCAGTACCTTGGCGTGTCACAACTCCTTAATCAAATATTTGAATGATTTTACAAACTATAAAACATTTAATAATGTATTTTTAATATTTTATCATAGATTTGAATAATAACATTTAAAAAAAAAATGATAATCTTTGTACTCACTTTTACCCGTCAGTTCTGTGTCCAATGTTAAAATTAAAAATTCCTGCGAAATATTGAAGTTTAAACGTCAAGTCCTCGTTTTAACTCAAATGTTGGTAAAAAATTACCTACAGAAATTACCTTTGCACGGCAGTCATCTTGAAAACAATGCAAGCGGCGAAGTTGTGGTGAATGCACGTATAGTTCCAGTTAAAATTTCAGTACTGTGGTGAGTAGTTATTTTCTTACGTATATATATATATATTTCATTGTAATTTATATAAGGCTATATGTGATTTGTTGATAAGTAGCATCCACTAATAGAAAATATCAGAAAAATACTTAATTCCGAATTATAATCTCAAATTTGTATCCCATTCATCAGTACCGTGTCGTCAGTTCCATGTTCGATGTTTCGGTTATCTTTTTATCGCAAACTTCAATTTAAATTCTGCTTGGCAGAACTTGTTTATTTAATGTCATTATAAACTCATATAAATTTGGTGTGGGTCCCATATCTAATAATTGAGATTTCGGTATACCCAAAATCCACCAGCCGCCACTGATGTGTGGTATTATTTGATTTTAAGATATTTAATGTATAATATGCTCAAAGTTGCAATAAATCTTATACAGGGTGTCCTGAAATTAGTGCACCATACTTTAACATCAGATTCTACGTGCAAAAATAAGAAAAAAAGTCCCTATAAACATAGGCCAAGAAATGCCTCTTAAGGGAGCTACAGCCCCCAAAAGGAAAGCCCCTGAAGATGGTTTTTATTTATTATCTCCAAAACCGTTAAAGATAGAAAAGTGAAATTTAGGGAATTAATTAAACTTTTTATGACCAATAAAACGTAACAATAACAATTTAAAAAATTTCATGAGGTCAGAATGATAGGAAGTGGGGATAAAACCACCTCAACTTTTTTGTACGTATCTTGTACCAGATTTTGATGTCAGATTATGAAATTTTGGAGTTTTGCACATAAAAAAGGTCATTTTGTTGAACTTCGTTAACATACACCGTTTTCGCTTAAAATCGATTTGAAAATTATTTTACATGGCATAAAAATTCACAATTAAATCACAACCATAGAAATGGACTCGCGTGGTCCTTGGAATACTGCCGTGCTTAATGAAAACGCCCTAACCAACAATTTTGAGATTTTTGTTTTACGGCATTTTCTACTAGAAAAATTCATCCTGCGTCTATCCCCGGTACTCAAAAATATATATGAAATATAGATACGGTTTTTTGAGTACAGGGGATAGACGCAGGATGAATTGTTCTAGTAGAAAATGCCGTAAAACAAAAATCTCAAAATTGTTGGTTACGGCGTTTTCATTAAGCACGGCAGAATACGACTGCCATGTTTAGGAAAAAATAGAATAATTTAAGACAGGTGACAGTTTCATGTAGTAAGTGGCAGGGTGTTTATACTTTTTTATAAATATTAAATAAAAACCATATTCAGGGGCTCCCTTTTCGGGGGCTGTAGCTCCCTTAGGAGGCATTTCTCGATCTATATTTATAGGGACTTTTTTTCTTATTTTTGCACGTGGAATCTTCTGTTAAAGTATGGTGCACTAATTTCGGAACACCCTGTATTTTCCAATAAATTATGTATTTAATTAGTACCCTGGTATTATACCAGGGTATAATACTCGTCACTTCCCTTGCATTCAAATTTAGAAAACACAGATATTTCAGTTTGAAAAAGTGACTGGCCCGGTCTGGAACAGTATATTTATTATATTATCTATGTTCTCATAAAAAAATACTGTTAAATTTTCTCCGAAAACTATATAAACAAAATTAGGTCAAAAGTTGCCCAACTTTTGTAGAATCACCCATTCCTTAAATTTCGCTTAAAAATTAAATATTTTATCTAGTAGGTAGTTGATGTTTCTAGTTTTTTTGTAAAAAGCTTTTTATTTTTAAAATCATTTATTTTTAGTAGGTAGTTGATGTTTCTAGTTTTTTTGTAAAAAGCTTTTTATTTTCAAAATCATTTATTTTTATAAACAATTAATGCAATCAAATTTAGTTTTAAGGGCCAAGTGTTTATAAAATTGCATTTTTATTCTTTCTTTAGCCTAACTCACCTAATATTCAGTAAATATTTAAAATTGTTGGCAAAAATGTGGCGTAAAGTGTACTAGCATACACAGTGTTGCCAAGTTAGTGGTTTTTACCTAGTTCTAGGAATTGTTTACGACTGTCAGATTTATTAAAACACTCATTTAAGATTTTATTTTATTCGTGTTGTCTTTTATTTTTATAATATATTTAATTAATTTAAAATAAGTTCTGTGTTTTTTATAATTGAAGGGGTTAGAATAGAAAGGGTATAAGTGCAATTTCTTTAATTTAGGAGATAAGTTCGTTTTGTGAAAGATAAGGTTCCGACGTATCGAAATGAAAAGGATTTAAGTAATTTTCATACTTCTAGGGACCTCTATTATCCAGTAGAAAATTATTACTAAACAAAATTCTTCACTTTTTTATGGTAACATAACTTTAACTTCAAATATCTCCAAAAAATGAAAATGTTACTTATACCCTTTTTATTCTAACCCCTTCAATTATTGTTAAAATAAAGAAATTCTTGGAATTTTTTAAACCTAGGGATTTTTTAAGTATTGACATATTTAGACATTTCTAGAAATATATTTGTTATAATATTATAGAAATATTATTTGGCATACGAAATGAATAAGAGAAAAAAGCAGTGATTTACAGCCAATGGCGGCAGATCGTCTACAACATTCTCCAATACCTATTTGAAACGCGAGTTAAAACGTGAAGAAGATCGTGAAGATCCTCTTAAAGGCATTTACAAAAGCAAGTGGCCGCCGCAACTGGTGTTTCTTTAAGGATGGTGCTAGGAATTGTTAAAGAGGGTAAAACGAAAACAGCCATTAATAAACCAAGTTTGAAGAAGAAGTGATAAGAACTATTATCTATAGATTTTCGTCAACACATAAACAACGACCAACTTTAAAAGCCCTTTTTGAAGCCGTTAAAATTGGTTGCCCCCA